TGACAAACAGATTGGCTTAAGACTTCAAAAAGATTCCTGAATTCTTTTCAGCTAGATTGTTCTTGTTTTCAGTATCCTACTATTATAATATAAGGCGCATGTGCCACCAAACATACCTACCCACAAGGGTAATAATTGTTTTATTCTATTTTCATGGGAAAAAAATTAGATTTGAAGTCCATGTTTGAGTAAAAGATATATACATGCATTATTGAGTTAAATATTCATATACAACTTTTAAGATTATATAACTATTTTTTTGTGTTTTAGTTAGATGAATTATTTATTTAAAGGGATATCCTCGGAAAGCAACACTATATATATGTTGAAGAGTGATTGAAACCTGGTTGAAGATTTCTGGTGCTAAGGAGATTTGGTGGGTTCATCAGTGTTTGAGAGTTAGTTGTTTCTATTTTAGTTAAACGTGATTCTTTGAGTCGTTTTTGGTTGTAGTAAGTCTTATGTTAGCTAAATGACTGATCAATGTGTTGTTTATGCTTATGGGTTGAAACGCTTTGTTAATTGTCGTTTGTTCTTTCTTCTACAAGTGTTTGGTGTAATAGCAATTGCAGCTTTGGCATATGTGATGGTTTTTTTTGTTATCAAATTTTTGTTAGTTCTTTTAGCAAGCCTTATTTTTTGGGTTTTAGTTGTTTTGGTATAATTGATGTATAGATACTCAAAGTGAAATGAAAAGTTTTATGGAACCGAGCCAAAGTTTCAGATTTCTTAACTCAATCCTTTTTCCTTCTCCAGTGGATCCTTGTTTCTTCTCTCTACTCTGTTCTTCATTCTTTGGTTCATTGTTCTAGAAAATTCTTTTCTGAAATTACAATATGGTATCAAAATATTTAACTTCTTAAGGGACCTCAAAACTCTGTATTTTCATTTTCTTTCAATTACTCTTATCTATGTGGATCGAGTCATGGCTTCATCAAGTTAAAATGCCTCGGAACCACCAATTTTCTTTGGAGAGAATTATTTGATTTAGGCTCTAAAAATGAAGACATTTCTCAAAGCGTTTGATCTTTAGGAGGTGACTGAAGTTGGAGGAGATCCACTAGTTTAAAGGCACGCAAACCCAACATTGGCTCAAATTAAGCAATATAATAAGGAGGTGGCCAAAAAGTATAAAGCACTCTCTTGCTTAGATTCTACAATTTCTGATTCGATCTTTACCAGAATAATGACTTTTGATAATCCTAAAGAGGTTTGGGACAAACGTAGGGAAGAATTTCAGGGTAGTGATTGAACTAGGCAAATCCAAATATTGATTTTGTTGAGAGAGTTTGAGGTGTTGAAATAAAAGATGATGAGAGTGTTAAGGAGTATATTAACAAGATAATGAAAATTGTGAATCAGCTGAGGCTATTGGGAGAAGATCTGAATAAGAGAAGAGTTGTGAACAAAATCTTATTTAACTTTTCAAAGAAATTCAAGGCTAAGATTTCTTCACTAGAAAATGATAAACATTTGTCAACGATTACAGTTACTGAGTTAGTAAATGCTTTGATAGCTCAAGAACAGAAAAGAGCCATCAAGAGTGAGGATTTAGTTGAAAAAACTCTAGTTGCTAAAACTAAGGGATTGAAGGTTAAAGGAGGTGGTCAAAAGAAATACGTTGCTAAGGTGAACAAAGGTGAAAACAGTAAACAAGTCAAAGGTGATAGATATCCACCTTGTCCGAATTGTAAAAGGAAAAATCATACTAGTAACTATTGTTGGTATAGTCTTAATGTTAATTGTAAGTCGTGTGGTCAAATGGGACATGTACAAAATGTTTGTAAAAATAAGAAAGCTATTATTGCAGTGAAGGTAGTTGTAGCTGAGCAAATTAAAGAGACTAAAGAGCTGTTTATGTGGCATCCAATTTGAACATTTAAAGTGATGATGTTAGTGCTGACATGGCTTTGATGTGATAGCTTATGTCACATCATTATGTTAGGGTGATGTGGTGATGACATGTCAGCATGTCAGGGTGATGTGACAATGCACATCATCCAACCAATTGAAAAAATGTAGTGCCATGTGGCATTGACATGCTGAAATGGAAATCAAAGAAAAAATCCTACCAAAATAAAAATAAGAGGGTCGAAATTAAAGCTATTATTGCAGTGAAGGTACTTTGATAGTTGTAATTATAATATAAAAGACAATATAGCAAGAACATTCCTTTTGCTAATTTATCTTTTAGTTTAAGTTTGATCACATGTTGAATAGTTAATTTAAGTTATTTGAGTTTAATTTTATGTTATTTTATTTTAAATTATATTAAGAGTAGTTATTGCGGATTTCTCTTATTGCTTTTATAAGAAATTTGATGAAAAATGCTCATTTGATAAAACTCTGTGCAAGTATGGTGATGGCTTCACTTATAAAAGTTTCGATATTTTGACCATATCTCTCTTTAAAGAACTCTAAATGAGGCGATTTTTGGACCATTAGAATTCTAAAATGAAGGGCTACAACTATTAGTTTTCTCTATTTACTTTTGTATTTTTTTTATTTTCTTTGGCTTAGATTAATGTCTAATTTTCTTTAGATGAAGTTTTTATTAAATATTATGAGCTAAATTTACTTTTCTAGGATTGTAATTGAACTCACATATAATCTAAAGTTTTAATCTCTTTTTTATCTTTAATGTAATTTGAATTATTTATTTGAATTTGTACTTAATATTTTTAATTATCTAATTACCAATTAAATTAATTTAGGAATCTAAACAAACTTGAAAAAAGGAGTTTAGGGTAGACTAAACTTGAGATAGCATATGATCATATTAATTGACTCGCGTATAAAATAGGGATATACCTATAGACTATATGCAACCAGATTAAAACTTGAACTTAATGGGTCTATTTTAATTTCAATTCACACAGGGATATAATATTTTGATTAAAATATGTATTTTTATAAAATGAGTCAGGAGACTTTTATAAATAATTAAGGACTCTGGGTTAGCAATTTAACCCATTGAAATAAGTTGAGAAAGAGAGTTAAAATTTGGATGAAGTGCGAGAGATATTTTAATCCTAGGCTTGTTTGATTTGATTTCTACTCAAGTTATTATTACTTTAATTTTTCTTTTTAGTTTAAATTTTGGTTAATCAGTTCTAGTTAATTAATTAATTTTGATATTTGGATAAGATTAAATTGTTATAATTTTAGTACTTAGTAAAACTTTAGATCAAATCTCTATGGGATCAATACTCTATTTACTTATATACTATCTATTCGATATGTATACTTGCGTAGAAAAATTTTAACTGACAGTTACCCTTTCGTGAGTTTTTGTTTGATCTCATTGCAACTAGATTTCGATTTTTATTTTTTAAATGAAACGTAAAAGAGTGTTATGTCTCTTTTTATGTTGTCTTGTATCACTACCAGTTCATAGGATAGTTTTTTGTTAATCTCTTATTAATGAAATCTTTATGCTTTTCAAAAAAGAAAAAACATCCCATGGATAGGCTGAAATGTTTTAGTTTCATAATTATATATGGTACAAATCAGTATCCATTCTTCAGGGATAGATTTGGCAACTCTAGCCTTTTACATCTTTGACTTTAAAAGTTTTCTTGGTAGTCTATAACATATGGTATCATATTACAATAATCATAAGCAAACCAGCTAAACCTTAGCTTAATAGTATAGCATAGTCTCCTTAAGAGGGATGATGATGAGAAATGGGGA